TAGCTTTGTGCTTAGTTACAAACAAACAATACCTAAGTAACTCTCGCTATTAAATCTTATTAACTCATTGTATGTGTTACGGCCTCCTAATACTAGGCAGACCAACAACCAATAGTTATGTATACTATTAGTTTTATTTAAAAGTATTATTACATGTCAAAATATAATTATAAGTATACACCCGTATAAACTACATAACTGCTTGTGAGAAAAATACTTTACATTTTAGCTATTAAAGTCATATAGTGAAGTGTTAACAAGAAAAATTCTATGGGGGTTTGAGCCCGTTTTACTTCACCATATTGTAATAAATTAATTTAGGTATGAAAATAGTGTTAAGACATTTTTTTCGAATTCATTATTCAATAATATACAGCGGACCAATTGTTTAATGACTATATATGCATGTTAAAGCTATCTTTTCTTCTTCACCAGAGGTGAATGGAAATCTTTAACATATATATATACAAGGAAATATTCTGTTTCTTCCATTCGTGGACATGGCTAGAAAAAGACACTCGTGTATGCGTAAAACTATGGACACTCGTACTGCGCAAGCAGCCGCATGAATTCAAAAATAGCGTTTTAATAACTAGCTGTAACAATGAGCACTTGACCCTGAAAGGTCTTATGACCAAAACCACGATCATGTGTGTTCTACATAGTCCTTAACAAAAGTATACAAGCCAAATAGTTTATCAGCTCTTCACTTCTAGTTCATGAATAATTTACATTTCCATGTTTCTGGAATTTCGTTACTTACTAGTGATATGAACTTGAATTTCTGTTTTCTTTATGTTGTGTTTAAGTACGTGGGTTGGCCCATTGGCAGAGCACTGGGTTCTGGAGCAAAAGTTCAAATCTATACGCTGCCACAAATTATTCTTATATTTTAAGCTGTGGGTTCGTTATAAAAGTGACAGTCAACCTCTTAGCGTGTTTGGTGAGTTGTAAGGTTCTGTTGAATACCTTCCCTCTGGTCAGAAGTTAAAATTAAGAACGCCGGTATATAGGCTTTACCGTTGAATATAAATACAACTATTGTATTGTTCAGTTAACATAATTTTATAAATGATTTCCTACTGAAATAACATATTTTGAACATTAGAAAAATTAAGATTTATTTCAATTTCTAAACAATTAATTATATGAGTCTCACCACAGAAATATAGAGCCCCCCCCTACACACGCACACACACACACATATGTATTGTTGTAACATTGTTCTTCATTGGCGGGTTCTTTTAACTTTTAAAAAATATCCGGTAAAAATAATTTAACGTCCAGTGTATGTAACAATAGCAAATTAGTTTATTTCATCCTTAACGTTTATTTACAGACTTGTACAATCTCTAACATTGTTGTAAGGCTACGTATACATAAAGTACACACTGTTGATAAGTATTGTTATGAAGTGTTTATATCAATATCAATAAATAATAAATCCCTCAAATGATTAACGAGATTTGAAAACGAAATTTTTGATAATTTAAACAAAATTATGAATATAAAAATGTGTTTGTTTTATTTTCCGAAATATGGCAGTGTTAATAGAGAGATTGAAAGTATGCAAGAATAAAATTATTTATGCCGGCTGGGCTTGTAACATTTTATTTTTTATTTTAGTTCTTCTTTTTTTGTTTTTATCAAAAAGCAATAATTAACATGTGACTTAAAAATCTCCCACTTGATATAAGTGTATCTATCTTGAAAGTATGCATACACAATGTGTGTGACGAAGAAATCTCTCAAATGATTGATGGGACTTGAAAACGAAATGCCATTAAACAAACTAAATAAACCTGTTGTCATTAAGATATGCTCTGGAATCAAAATCGCGTGTAATGCTGACGAAAGGAGCGAAACAAGATGAAATTTTGTTGTTATTTAAATAACCAGCTGTGTGTATATAGGATAGTAGCTAGTTTGCTTAAATAATCTGAAATATTAAGTGCTGTGATAACTGCCCCATTCGCTCCTTCCAATGCTAAGCCTAATTGTCTTGTTAGTGATGGTCTTGTAAGTCTCCTATAGAAATTTTAGCGGACAACCTGATGCTCGTGGCAGAGCTCTACTCAAATAACAGCGTAGAAAAGGAGAAACTGTACTGATGTCGCACCTCAGTCTGTCTGAATTCAGCCATTCATCGGAGCTGGACAGCCTGAAGTTACTGATCAACATAAGATTTTTCCATACTAAATACAGTATAGATTTTTCAACAGAAATAACAACAATAGAGCCCAGTAAGGAGAAAAAGCATCGGTGAAGTTGATGTGTAATGAAAGTTCAAGCTGAACCTACGTACCAATCAAAAACAATAGTAATCTTTAATATCACTTGATTTCGAACAAATAAACGTTACTTTCAATTGGCATAAAGCTTGACATTTTGATTAACAATCCGATCTGAGAAAACGTCCACGTAACTTACTTATAAAATCCTTCAACAAAACGGTTAATGTGAATAAGATAGTCAGCCTCTCCCCACAGTCTGTTGAAGTATTGAGAACCGTGTGGTTTTACGTTAAGTGTAAGATGTTAGCCAGTCCCTTCCCACAGTCTATTGAACTACTCATAACTGTATTTTTACATGAACTGTAAGATGTTAGTCAGTATCTCTCAACAGTCTGTTGAAGTAATGAGAACCGTGTGTTTTTACATGAACTTAAATGTGTCACCCATAACCATAGTTTACGTGTCGTCTTGTAAGCCCATGGTGATCGTTTATGTGTTGTCTTGTAACCTCGTAACGATGGTTTATGTGTCATCTTCTATGCACATAGACGATGGTTATATGTCATCTTGTATATATCAATAAACCAAAGAATGGCCGTTATTTGTTTCTTCTGTTGATTTATATGTATCGGGAAAGAAACAATAGGACTTTGAAAGGTAATCGTGTTGTCTGAATGATTCTGTAAGCTTTGTTTTGTGAATAAAGATACACTTTATCCAGTATCGAAGCAAAGCCCAATTTTAGTGTAAACCGTAATGGGTGACAGGATATCTCCGTGGAATGTAAGTAAACTACTTTTTGTCTGTTTGCAAAATCCATTGAGGTCGCTTTTTTCATCCTTTGTTCAAGATAAATCTTTTTTTTTTTAGTTGTTGTTTACAAGAAT